CTCTTGCTTGCGCGATTCATTTAAATACATATTAACACTTCACTCAAGGTGACAATTAAATTAAATAATTCTTTGTTTCTTTTTTGTTTTTTTTTTATTAAAATTCATTCAAAGAAAAAAGGTTTTCAATATCCTGATCAATAATATTTTAAAATAGAAAAGAATATATTTATGTGATAAAATGAAATAATGATAAACGAATTTGATGGTTTTTTGATAAGATAAATAATAGATAAAAAAAGATGATTATCATCTACAATTGAATAATATACGAAAAAAATATTTATTTTTATATAAAAATAGTTAATGAATAAAACAATTCTCTTACATATTTATAGAATTTGATTAAACGATAAATAAAATGAAAAAATCTTTATTATATTATTTGTTTAAAATCAAAATTAATAAATTTTTTCAAAAATCCTCTAAAGATTATTTTATGTTACAAATATTCAAAGTAAAAAAAAACAAAAGAATAAATTATCATCGATAAAAATAAATAGTTATTCATTAAAATAGTTCCTCACTTTAGTCTTTATATCAATTAATATTATAATTCTCTTATTGACAATTAACGTAAATCAAGATGATCGTTTTCAATAGTGACACCTAATGATATTAAATCATGTTTAGTATTAGTATAATTATTGAATAATGTACCTCATTGTTAACGAAAATGACTTGACATAGAAAACAAAAATGAAATAGAACAATATTATATCAATGAAAATAAAGTCTAGATGATGTTTTCAACGTACATATACAACGAATAAATCTTAAATAGGTTTTTTTATTTTTATTCAAAATGAATCGTTTTCTACAGACAATAATTATGGAAAAGAGAAAGATTCTTTCTTTTTATTTCGGCTAATTTACTCGAATGGAAATCATTTCTTATATATCAGTATTAACCGGTGAGTCGAAACTTATGAATTATAGAACTCGAATTGTGTACTCTTTCTAAATATGACTTTAAAAATATTATATCCAGTTTTGTTCAAGAGTAGTGAAAAAAATCTTTGAAAAACCTTAATAATTACTTTGGACGACGTATAAATAGGTTCTTGCTAACACATATATGTCCGTTTGCGACAATGCTAAAAATTATCGGACACGATAATTTTATATAGCGGGCACTTATTTACAAAATCTGATATTGATTTACGTTGGAGTTTTTACATAAGTGAAGTTTTATGTATTTTGTCAGAAGCTCCTCTTTTGTGAAAAACGGCTTTTGGTGAAAAAGTCGATTTCTGAAAAATTTAAGTCATATATCTAGTTTTTCAATAAACTTATATTCACAAAATAAAAATTGAATGTACGAAATGACACTTCGTTTATATTATACTGGAAAAATAAAACAAAGATAAATATATATTAATTAAAGATAAAAGATCATTCCTGAAAATATATCTATCAACAACTAAGACAAACAATAATCAATTATTTATTTTTTACTCAAACATATTCTCATTGTTTAAATATAATTGTAAGTATCTTCAAATAAAACAAATATCATAATGAAATTGTTAATCATTGACTGAAATAAAACTAGAATAAAACTTGTTGTAATATCATAGCGCATTGACAAAGCATTATCAAATTAAAAATATTTATTCGAGATGAATTAGTTACAATAATAATTTATCTTATTTAAATTACCAAGCAAAAACATAAATATAAAGAAATATTTTAAATAATTATTTAATTTTAGTATATTTTGTTAAAAAAATTTCTCAATATTGAAGGTATAGATTTATCGAATATTTCTTCAAATGATTAAACAACAAATATAAGAATAACAATTGAATGTATTTCGTTAATAATTATCATAATTAATACTGCTTATTTAAGTGATCAGAGAATAATATTATCTTATATAAAATCTAATAATAAACACATCATTTTATAGTTGACTATAATATATATATATTTATTTATTTATTGTTACATTTATATAATAGAAATGATAATCGAAACAAGGAGATGAATAAAAAAACTGTGAAATAAGTAAATATAATAAACAAGAAATTAATTTATAATTATTGTTATGAAATGAAAATATTCTAAATAAAAATTGATAATATTAATAATAGATTATTTCAATGACTATTATCGAAGAAAAAATATTAGCAAATTTATTTTGAAGATATTTGTCATTAACTTAAATAGAATTATTCTCAATGTATCATTATTTGATAATTTATTGATAAAATATTGTTGCATTTGAGAACAGATTAAATTCAATCATTTTTATTATCTAATTGAATAAGTTACCATTTCAAACGTATATATTTAATAAAAAAAATGATGATTAACATATTTAAAAAGTTTATTGTTCATTATTAAACAATTAATGTATCGTGTAAACTCTACTCGAATATGTTCGAATTAAAAAAACAAAACAAATCTTCTATCAAAATCGAAATACAATAATACTGTTTATGAATCAATTTAATTTCGAATAAATATTTCATAATATTGACATAAATCAATATTATTGATTTTTCATTGAAAAATTTATAAGAAATTATTATTTTATATCTAGAACTAATTTATTTAATTGAATATTGTAACAATAGAGTAGATTACAGTGATAGGATCGGTTCGTCGTTTTTTTTTGTGGAACCGAACCGATTAAAAAATAAAGAAAAAAAAAGTTTATTAGTTTCAAATCTTTTTTCAGAATATTCACTTACAACAATTTATTGAAGATATGCTTATAACGCTTTCGATTAGTTCGAAGAGTGACCTAGAAAAACGAGCTACACACAATGTTAAAAACATAGATATTTTCGTTTTTATATTAGAAATATTTTCCCATCGGAAAAGACCGTAGCGTATTTTTCGTTCGTCGTTCAGTATAAAGGGCACAACTAGTTTCAACTAGTAGGTTATTATTCTTTGAAGGACCTACTGTGAAAATGTCATATAGGGTAGGTTTTGAGAAATAATTTATATATATCATAATTTCAAGGCATTGCTCTGTATTTTTCTAGTTTATGATTTCGGAGTGATGGGACACTTGAAAATAATAAACTAATGATGGGAGGAAGCACATCTATTGAAAGAGAAAGTGTTGCTCTTTAAAATATAACGATTTCGTCAAATTTGTAAATTTTATTTCGTCTTTTACAGTTTGAAAAGTAATAATCACTATGACTGGCTAAACTTGAAAGGTCTGAAAATCTCAATAAAACTATCTATTTAAAGACATTAATTAGATCATTTTTTTCTAACTTTATTGCCGTCTGCTAAAGATTATTTTGAAGTTCAAAATAAAGCGAGACTTATTTAATGCATTAAAAATTAATACAAATTGATAATCAATTAATATTTACTTATATATATGGGCGTGGGCAACCGACTTGGTACCCCATTTTGATAGTCCTATTGTAAGGATAAAACATACTATTGTTCGGATCATATAAGAGAGGATCCTAGATAACCCTGGATTGGCCCGAACAATATCATGTTTTATCCGTAGAATAGTAGAGAAAAGCTACTAACTCACACGATAAGCTCGCAGCTTTTCTCAACTATCCTACGGATAAAACATGATGTTGTTCGGGCCAATCCAGGGTTATCTAGGATCCTCTCTTATATGACCCGAACAATAGTATGTTTTATCCTTAGAATAGGACTGTATAAAAATGGAGTACCAAGTCGGTTGCCCACGTCCATATATATGAGTGTTTCCTATTAAAATGTTGTCTGTAAAATAATGTACTGAACGATGAACAAAACTATTGCTGGTGACTGAAGATTTATGAAAGAGATGAGTAAACAATAAAAATATGCTAAACTTTCTTCATTCACTTTTAGTGAACAAGTTAACATATATGTTAGAATACATATTTAGATGTAATCGATTCCGGATATTTGGAACCGAACCGAACCGATCCTATCACTGGTAGATTAGAGTTCTGATGTCTATTTGATGGTAAATATTCTAAACAAAGTAAGATATTGTAAATTAATCATTAACTACTCAACAATCTAATTATCTATTCAATATTGTATATATCGATTGAATAATTAGAGAAATATTCAATGATATCTATGGATAGATTTCAATAAGAAAGATTTAATTAAATATTGAGTATAGAATACTGAACTCGATGGAAAACGTTTATTCAAAGAAAAAAAACAAATTATTATTAAATTTAATTGTTATGTCTCGTATCAAATGATATGTTTATCTTAAAAAAATTAATTAAATTAAAAACAATATTAAAAATCTTGAAAATAATTAAAATTAATAATTTAAAAAACTAGTATTGTTTTATAGTACATTTAATGAAAATATTCTTTGAAAAATTTTAGCTTCAATCAAGTTAAGTTTTGATGATAAATGAAGAACAGAAAACGCGTTCTATAACATAATTGTTTCTTCTCAAGAGAAATTTTGGCGCCGATTGTGTTTATAACCAGTGAATAGAAAAAAAAAAGAAAAATAGTCGTCGGCAACGGTTAGCTATGATCAACGCGTACTATTTCAGTATATTTCTTCTCGTAGAAAGGTTGGGTACATTTTTCTCTGCTCGTTCTTTCTTCATAGTTGCATTTTTTTTCTTCTCGACGATTAGTCCTGTTCGTCTTATGTTTGCATTTTTTTGTGTATGCGTGGGTATCCATCTTTTTTTTTTTTTTTTTTGTTTTTTTTTTCCTTTTACATTAGCGCTCGACAACATGAGATCATTGTGTGTTGATATGCATGTTGAAGGAAGTTAGTTTGTCTTTGGAATATTTCTTTTTGAAGTATTTTACAAATCGTTGACATTAAATAAATGAAATAATAACATTGACATTCCTATTTAAATATTTTTCTTTCGAATTATTTGAAAATATAATCTTACATTTTTGATTTATTCATTTATTATTTAAAAATATAGTTAAGAGCAAAAAAAAGAAATGATTGTTATCTTATTTCTATTTAAATGTTTTGTTTTGTTTTGTAGAATAAATAAGCTACACGTATTACAACAAATCTTTTCATCATGGGTGTATTTGACGTTGTTCCATCAGGTAAGATTAATTCTTAATTTAAAAACAAAAAAAAAATTTTTTTCCTGTTGAAGGTGTATTAACCGGTGATTCTGTTATGAAATTGTTTTCATATGCAAAAGAACATCACTTTGCTATTCCATCTTTTAATGTAACATCTTCATCGGCTATAAATGCAGTTCTTGAAGCTGCTCGGGATACAAAATCTCCTGTTATAATACAAATTTCACAAGGTGGAGCTCAATTTTATGCTGGTAAAGGTCTTAGTAATGATGGTCAAGCAGCAAGTATATTAGGAGCTGTTGCTGCAGCACATCATGTACGACATGTTGCTAAAACATATGGAGTACCTGTTATTCTTCATAGTGATCATTGTGCCAAAAAATTAGAACCATGGTATGTCAAGTTTAACTTTTTTGTTTTTTTTTTCGACTTCGAACTCTTATTAATATGTTTTAAAGAGAATATTTTTTTTTTGAAAAATTTTCAATTCAGATTAAATTGAAAATTTTCTGAGAAGAATAATTAAATTATTAATGAAATATTCATAACTAAATTTGTTTAACATTTCATATATAATTACAATGAATATAAGACATAGAAATGAATTTAGTTTCATAACTAAATCTATTTGCTTCGTTGATCTTAAACTAAAGTACTCGTTCTAGTTATATAATGATGTACTATAATAATAGGAATTGGTTTTCTTTTTGTAAAACTAAACTAGCATAATTTTTTTGTGAACTACTTGATAAAAATTAAGTATGAGATTATCATAGAAAAAAAAACCGATTTCTATACTATTTATTTTATCTTAATTTAATTAAGATAAAGAATTTATTTAATGAATTGAAAGATTGCCTTTGGATTTATCTTATTAAATATATCTAAAGTAATACTTCTACCATGAATAATTGTAAATATTTGAAAGATTTTTTTCCAATTAAGCCGAAAGACAATGTTCGATATAATAGAGTACGTAAGTGCAAATGTAACTGTCAAGTACACCTAATGAATACTTTC